ATATATATATATATATATATATATATATATATATATATATATATAAACATAAACTCATGTTTACAATGTTAACTGAGGTAATAAATCAAGAGAGAAGTAGTCATTTTCTCATAGACTTCTATACAACCAGAGGAGTCGCCCCCTGATGGTCATTAGAGAGAATACAGCTTTAAGGCACTTCCGCATTAACTTCACTTTTCAGAACCGGAGGTTGTATGCGACGTACCGGGCTTTCAACTAACTCCAATACAAACCCTCCCGCAGCATTAGTGGACGGTAAGAGCACGTGACATAGTATAAAGTCTGTGAGATTCTGCTTAGGTTGGGTGGTGAATGGGTCAAATAAACACAGATTGGTGTTCGAGTCCCAAGCAAAACTTAAAGTGAACTATAACATTTTATCACCAGTCGTTAGTCACGTGACTTTTTTGCTATCCTAGTCAGTCAAGTTAACGCCGACCACGATTTTTTCATAAATCTACCAAAGTGGTTTTGTTGCCCAAACCTAACTTCCTGTGAAGAGGGAAGTTTATTTTGAAAGGACATGTAACGAGTGTATATTGAAACGCTGACCCTCGACGTTGATGGAATAGTTCCAGCGGGCTGACATTCTTTTAAATCTGGGTCCAGTGAATACTTTACAGTGGCCCACTGCTCCTAATGTTTATGCAGAGGATGAATTTGATGTATGTATCAGTGTATGTGACATAAATAAAGTTTTGTTGTTTCTGTCGTCACATACATTGAAAACAAAATACAAAATTTGAATACAAAAATTGTGGTCGCTATTGACGGTAGCTTGGCTATTTAAAATTTGTGAGTTTGTGCAGGATGTCCCATTTCTCTCTGACCAATCAGTGGTCTGCAATGTTTTAACTCCACCTTCTAGTATCGGATCAGCTTGATTGAGGGACAATCCACACCTTTACCAATAGGAAAACCCCCCAAATACCGTACCATGCTGTGGAAATGTGGCCTCAGTCAGTTTTAGAGGTACTGATATACAAAAGGCCGTTGTGTTTTTTTTAACTTTTGGAGTGAACCAGATCAGTTGTTTCCATTCTCTATGCTAAGCTAAGCTGCTGGCTGTAGCTTCATATTTAGCATAGAGACCTAAATGTTATTGATTGATATTGATTGAATCTGTAAACAAGAAAGCAAGGCTGTGCACATGTAGAACCAAGAGCTCTGTAAAGCCACGAGAGAGTTAAACAGGTTCAAACACGATCATTCAAATTTGAATATAATATTACAGTGGTAAGCAGAGGGGAATTGCTAACGTTGGGGATTTACAAACACTTTGCTTGGCCCCAATTCAAATACTTTCTGCGATATTGAACAAGCCAGAGATGTAACGGTGACTTTTGATGCTAGTTCAAAGGAGATGAGATAAAAGCATTTGATTTTCATTTTTCAAGTGTAGGGAGCAAGTGTTCACTTGCATCTACCTGCTCTTTAAGAGTTGAGTCAATAATCGAACCATGGGGTTTGTTGTGAGAGATAGCAGTCTGTGTACACAGGTATGACTTGAGGGTAAAGATTAACATTGACTACACATTATCACAATGCTGACTCTCGTGTGAGTGCACATGCAAAACGTTGTTTTTTAAATGTCAGTAACATTGCACTAAGAACTGCAGAGACAGAGTTTTAGCACAGCTTTATTAAACAATGAAATTGGAAGAGACTTGGAAAACATGCCCATTGAACATAAACTGTGGTTCACTGTTTGGTTGTCTGCTCATTCTTGAGTTGTGTGCAACTTTATTGATCATCCATTGTGTCAGCAGTCTCCACTGCACTGGACCGCTTGAGACCACGAAAGGGAAAAAAAGCACAGTTCTATGAAATAAACCATGAAGACAGCTACTGACTTTCTGCTAGCACGCTGTACAACCCTAAATACAAATTAGACCAGCAAAGTTTCCTGACACACTTACAGCAGTGTATAAATGGATCTGACTGGCAGCTCTACACACCACGGAAATAGTGAGGCTGCAAGACAAACCGCAAAACAACTGAGTGAAATCTGTCACTGTTTAATAATCTCATATCTAATTTTGCATTTTGTGAGGATTGAGCAGGCCGTTTGTCTGTTATGTCAACTCATGTGTCAGTCAAAACTCCAGCTTCCTGTTTTGTCTTTTGATGTCAGCACACATTGGTGTGCTTGATGCTGAATGTTAATTTTTTACTAATATGTCACTTGAATTGAGCAATATATTAATCAATGCATTCTGCCTCTTTGTTGCATATATATAATGCCCCAATCTGTATTTTCATTCATCCATTTATTTATAAATCTAGTCATCCATTCACTAACCATGTTTCTTTTATAGGTGTTATTAATGCTTCCAGTTTCAGTACTAGAATAGTCCATACCCTCCAGGAATGGATTATAATTGAAGATTTGTTCAGCTGCTGTTTGACCACCTAGCAAAGGTCTTTATCGCCCCCCTGTGGTTCTACTGTGAATTGCTGATCTTGGGATCGTATCCAGCAGAAAATGCACTCAAACTCTTGGAAAGATACATAAATAGCAGTGGGCTATGTGGATAAAACCATCCATCATAATATGTTTCATTTCATATTGCAATACAGTCCACTTTCTGTAAAATCTGGATCGGATTTCCAGGCAAGACATTTCTGTTTTGGCTAATAAAGCAAATAGTTGATTCAAGCTTTTATTACATTGATCATACAATCTATGTTTGCCATATTTATGTTTACAACAATGGCTTAATATTCACAGTGATATTAAATGATAGTTCCAAATGGTTTGACAAAGTCTCTGACCGTTAAAAACTGTTCATATTTTGAGGTGATTTACATGAATTCTCCTACTTTCAACCAGCACTACAGTACAAACTGTCACTAGTAAAGGATTTGGATGCAGCTGATCAATTAGTGGACTTTACTTAAAGACACAGAGTCGATCTGATTGGACATTTGGTGATTTTATATATTTTTTAATTAGAACACATCCTGAACACTTATGCCCAAATTCTGGAATAGAGGAATATTATTTTGTTTTTAAAAAGTGCTACAAGACCTTTCTAGTCAAATACTTGATACACGCGCACACACACACACACACACACACACACACACACACACACACACACTTCCAACTGTCAATCACACTCGTAGACATCAGCAGGGCTTCAGCTTCCACACTGCTCTCAGTCTGTCCATCAGTGACACCCAGGTGAATGAGGAAAGAGTGTAGCAGTGACAGCCTGAGCCGTGGGGTACTCCAATCATCTGCCAGTCAGCTAGCAGAGGCTCTCTGGCACCTCTTCACCATATCCCGCTGTGAAAACCCTTCCGTTTGCTTCAAGTGCCAGAAAAGTTCCCTGAGTGACTAAGATGATAGCACTGACTGCATGTGTTTGACTCTGGAGCTACAGCACATTCTCATTATGACTCAGCAGTCAGCACATATGACTCTTCCTCTTATAAAGGGTTTCTAAGTGTTGAATAATAGTTGCATTTATATTATAGGCTTATAACTGATCAATATAAATCAGTTATAAGCCAACCAATAACAACACTTTTTGTGTTGCCGGGTTGTGAAGCGGAACGTCAGGAGATATTTGCTGAATTTGATTAAAGGTGTATTGATAGAATAGCTGACAGAACCGTTAATAGTCATTGATGGAATAAGTAACTACATGTTAGTAATTAATGAAGGATAATAAACCATCAAGGCTGTAGTTAAATGTTAAAAAAACATGAATTGGAAATTGAAAATGGGCCCTATTGGACCATCAGAAAAAGTTTGTAAATCCTCTGTAGTCATAAATGTTCATAAATCACTCATAAAATGGTTATTACAATAAATCAGGAAGGCAGTTGTTAATTAATGAAGTCAGGTACAGACATCCTGTTACAGAAGGTCAGGGGTCCATTGTGGGGTCTTCATGGTGAACTAAAGAGCTGAAAAAACAAAGCATGAGTAAATGATTTTCTAACCATTAATCAAGATTTGTTTTACATAACTATTTTATGAATGGTAATTTGGAAAGTAGTACCCATAACATATTGTTGGATTCAAAAAGTAGCCTATTGTTGGTAAGATTATAACAAAACAATAATATAATGATAATATAATGTTTCCAAAACACCTCAAAACACCTCAAAACAAATCAGTGCAGTGACGTTAGCTGTATCCTGCACAAGCAGAAGGCTACGTATTAGTTATTAGGACAAAGTTTAAGAAACCACAAATCCCTAAAACCTTTACCCAGCAATAAGATCCCCATACCAACGTCTGATTGGACAGAGTCAGTAAGGCTCCGTGTGATTGGCCGACGGTGGCCATGTTTGCATTACCAGCTGTCTAGATGCGGGCTAGCTAACCGGTTAGCTGTTTGAGGTTCGTTCGCCTCTTTATTCGGCGTAAACGTAACGAACAGCCTCTTCACGCCCTGTAACACCCGCTCATCTGGACGTCGCAATGCCGGTTCACTCTCGGGAGAAGAAAGAAAGTAACCACGAAGAAATGGAGGTGGATTTTCCCGAGCAGGACGGCAGCAGCACAGACGAGGAGGACACTGTTAGCTCGTCCGTGTCTGAAGATGGAGACAGCTCGGGTAGGACACACATTGTTAGGCCTTAAATATCAACCCACAGCCAAAAATACCCGTCTGTCACACAAGGGTTGTGTATGATATGCTAACATGACATTTCAACCAACGTAGAGCATTGGGGGGTCACGTCACTATAATGTTGTTGATGTTGTTGATGTTGTTGATGATGATGATGATGATGATGATGATGATGTTGATGATGTTGTTGATGATGATGTTGTTGATGATGTTGTTGATGATGTTGTTGATGTTGATGTTGATGTTGATGATGGATGAAAAGAACAACAGTGTATATGGTGGGAGGTGATGTCAGACCTGTCATGTCTCTGTGAACAGAGATGGATGATGAGGACTGTGAGAGGAGGAGGATGGAGTGCCTAGATGAGATGACCACTCTGGAGAAACAGTTCACCGACCTGAAGGAGCAGTAAGTCCCTCCCCATGTTCCCATCCTACTGCTGTCTGGTCTGAGTCAACAGTGAGCTTCATGTTCAAGTTGAACTACTGAGGTCTGTGTGAGAGGCTTGTCATTTCATCTGGTTGCTTTGGATACTTGGGACCTTTACTGGACCTTATTCAGAGTGATGGTCATCCAGATCCTCTCCACCGCTGTACAAACAGGTGGTAATCTGTAAACGTTATCACTATGATCCATATACAGTGGTTATTGTTTCTTATTAGCTGACGCCTTGGCGGCCGCTAATCTTCCTGGAGTCCACAGAAAGGACAAAACATAAAACGTACAATGCATGATGTAAAACAGTACAGTCAGAATAGTTCAAATAGTACAGTCGTATACAAAGTACAGTCGGAGACTAGAGTGTATAGTATCAGAACAGACCGTATACATTATGCATCCTTCAAAGAAGGATCAGGAGTCTAAGAAGGCAGTGGAGTTCTAGTCATATGCTCAGTGGCCTTAGGTGAGCCTGTAATTGTTTGTTACCTGTATAAGTTATATACATACATGGAATTGGAGCCTATATTGAGCTGCTGTAAAGCGCCCGGGGAGCCCGAACTACCAACTCTGTTTAAAGGATGACGCGCTCCATCCACTGAGCCAACACTGCCCCATCTGGGTGACAAATGTACATCAACCATTTGCCTTTTTTTTTGTTGATCTTTTATGCGTCAGATACAATATTTCCTATCAGCATTTTTTTTAAATGACCATCATTATGAGGTGAAAATGGCTCAGAATAATAAACTCGGTCAGTGTATTTGAGACAACATCAGCCATTCTGGCAGGTGCATTAAATAGACAGCTTCTTGTTCTGGAGAGATGAGGACCTATATTACTGTTCTGCAGTGAGAGTTTATTCTGCTTTAAAAGACCTTTTGAGTTTTATTCACATTTCTCATTTATTACCACTGTTTTTAAACTTGCTTACAAGATATTTTGAAATTGAACACTAAAATGCTAAAATATCTCTGGGGTTCCTTGTTTTGCTGTTCAGGTTGTACAAGGAGCGTCTGAGCCAGGTGGACATCAAGCTGCAGGAGGTGATGGCTGGCTGTGCCCAGGAGTACCTGGAACCTTTGGCCAACCTGCAGGAGAACATGCAGATCAGGACCAAAGTAGCCGGTGGGTCAATGTGATATTACAAGCTTTGCTGTGTTATAGTTTGATATTTAAATTTGTCTTAAAGGTGGAGTCAGCATTACTGGAATAAGATTGTTGATATCTGAACTCACAGAATGGAGAGCTAGCGGGCCGGCAGGAGAATTTGACAAAAAGTGTATTGGATTAGAGTCTTCTAATGTGACAGAGTTTGACTTTAGATGCACGTATGACGGTGAGTTAGGATGTGTTATGTCACATGTATGAAATCAACTTGACTATGGCAAAGGATCCTCTTTGTTGACATTCTTTGGGGTATCTTACACCTGTACTGGAAAACCAAGCAGATTGAGGCACTTGTACAAGTATCTTTTAATGATATGCAGCTAAACTTAATGCCTTTTTGCAGTTTAAAGGTCACTTTGATTAAAGTGTAATGCTTGTCACAGGGATCTACAGGGAGCTGTGCTTGGAGTCTGTGAAGAACAAGTACGAGTGTGAGATCCAGGCTGCCTGCCAACACTGGGAGGTAAGAGAGCAACCAATGAGTCGGGGCTTATGTGGGGGTCAGGTTTGTATTTTCCACGGCAAAAACACATCTTGTTCAAGTAGATTACTGCCTCTACAGTGATGGATATCCACTCTAATGTTGGGGTTTGGCCACAGTACCCACCACCACCTAGACAGAATTCAACCCCAGTCTTCTGATTTTCAATCCTCATTTTGTATCTCGCTCCTTGTTTCTGTCTCCCAGAGTGAGAAGCTGCTGCTGTTTGACACTGTGCAGAGTGAACTGGAGGAGAAGATAAGAAGATTGGAGGAAGACAGACACAGTATTGACATTACCTCAGGTACCTACATTCTGACCAGCGTCCCCTAAACCCACACTGTTCACTTTATATAGCTCTGAAATAGAGAGACGCATTCCTCACTCTCATTTAGTTCAGCAGCAGTTAGTTTGTGTTTGTCTTTAAGAGTAAGTAAAACAATTCATTTATCAAAACCTGACGACCGATCAAGTAATTGTATGGATTGATTTATTAATGAATTGATAAGAGATACAGAGTAGTGGTATTAAAGAATAGTCACAGAATATACAGAGGGCCTTTGATCAAGAATATGTCAACCAACAAGATGCATCCATAAAGCAGAAATATGAGCGCCTCCTGCAGAAGCACAGTGCGTCTCCTCTCTGTAATCTGTCCTCTCTGTCCTCCAGAGTTGTGGAATGATGGATTGCACTCACGGAAAAACAAGAAGAAAGACCCATTCTGCCCCGTCAAGAAGAAGAAGCCCGTCGTTGTCTCTGATATCCTTTTCCCTTAGTCCTGTCCTTGTCTTATTCCTCATCATTCATCGGCACCACATGTCACCTCAGTGACGTGCTGCTAACACAGATGTTTCACCGGACATTTGTCCTTAACCGCTCTGTTACGGCCTTATATCGTTTATATGCTGCAGGACCTTGATATTCTGGAAGACTGGACCGCGATAAGAAAGGTATTGTGTAATCGGACAATGGAGTCACCCGGTGAATGTGTTTTGTGATTTGACTTTTTAGTTGTGTCTGTTCCCCTCTCCCCCACAGGCGATGGCATCGCTGGGGCCACACAGGGTGAAGGTGGATGGTAAGAGTCTCTCCTCATCCTTGGTTACAGTCAATCTCTGGCTGAGTGCAGCCATCGACCCACAGTTGTACAGGAGCCGCTGTTTCGATGCTTTCAGCTAGAAGTACTCAAGTTCATAGTTGAGAAGGAGACAGATGTTACTGTCCTTGTCCTCCTTTTTTCTGTTTTGTGCTCTGTTTCTTTTAAACTTACACTGTTCCCTTTGTCCTTCTCATGCTGTCTCTCCAGTCCCTGCAGTCAAGCCTGACCGACATCAACACGTGGCGCACCTCGAGGATGGACGGCTTTTCTACGACAACCAGTGGTACTGCAGGGGACAGGCCATCTGCATCAACAGGAAGGACGAGTACCCGGCTAGGTGTGTTTGTGTGTGAGCAGGGTTTATGGTATGATGTTGATTAAAGCACCTGTCGGTTCTGATGCTAAAAGGTGTGTGCACTCGTCTGTAAAAGTGAGTGTGAGTCTGGGTCACGTGGTGGATTGGTTGGTAATGGAAATGACAAAGACTGTGAGTATTAGGCTGAATGATTGTGGATCCACATTCTGCCCTGTGTGTCAGTGAATAGAGAGAATGTATTGATGTTTCCACAGCACCGCTGAGTGGAGACGACAGGTGGCTGCTATGAACGGGTAGAGCTGGACATCCATGCAGCAGAGCACACCACACAGCCGGTGGACATTAACATGTAGCCAGGAATGAAGTTGTCCTGCACCAGATCTCACCTTAACTGAACACCTCTGGAGGATGCAATCATCAAAACACCAAAAGAGGAATAAAGTGTATTAATGCGGTTCATCCCATCAGAGAGACACTGTGCTACGGAGCACCAGGGGCCAGATGCTTAGAACTCTGTGTAGGTTCACAGCTTAAAGTCTCGGCGTGTCCCAAATACTCATTCTAAGCTGCTTTGTAGTATGTTGTGGTGTTCACACTGCAATGCACAAAGGAGCTACTCACAGCTGTGAAATCAAATATGTTGTGGGTGTCCGTAAACCTGCTCCAGGAAGATCTTAGAAATCCAAAATAAGTTATCAATCTTAAGAAAGACATTGTGCTTACTAGTTGTGGCGTTTAACTTGCCAATTGGACAATCCGCCAAGATTATCTGCCAGCTACCCTTTTGCAAGGCTGAGGCTATCGACAGCACCCATTTCATTCATTTCTCTCATGTACCTGTGCAAGCTGTTTCTCTTTGGCCTTCACTTCACACCAGAACGGTACAAAGAGCTTCACTATCTCAGTTACAGTTCGAAGGACCTAAACCCGGGGAAATGGTTCCTTTTGATCCCACAGAAGATAGTCTGCAGTAGAAAGAAGTACAACACAACTAGTTGAATAATGTTTAGTACTTTCAATCTCCACCTAGAAAACTGTATGCTTTGTGTGAAGTAGATTAGGTCAGCACATATGCTGTTGTATGAAATGGTGTATACATGGTTTTCATTCGCTGGTCCTATTTGGCAACCTGATCACATGCACAAGCTTTTCAAATGATATTCTGGATGATAGGATTTGATCACATGTTTTAATCATGCAGCATTAGTTAATTGTTACACTGCCCTTTAGAAAGTATTGCTTCTCCTCTCCGTAGCTGTAAAACCTTCTCTTTAGTTTGAATCTCTTTGTGCAGTTGAATGCCTCTTTACCACTTGAGCAGAGTATTCCTCGTTCATTTTCCCTGTAAATACATGATTATATGTGATGTCACGTGTTGGTTGTGAGGATCAGGAAGTGCCGTTGCGTTAACATTGTGTGTGTTTGTGTCACGCAGCGCCATCATCACCACCATCAACAACGACGAGGTGTGGTTCAAACGACTGGACGGCACCAAGTCCAAGCTGTACATCTCCCAGCTGCAGAAAGGCAAATACACTATCAAGCACTCGTAAAAACACACACACACACACGCAGACCAACAGACATCATCTCTGCTGCGTTTCCTTTAGTCTCCATTCCGTGTGCTATCTGTCTACATTCTTGCCATGTGTACAGTCACACACACTGTGTATAAGTAACAAAAAACAGACAGACAAATATCAACTGACCCTTCTAGTCTTAGGAGACGATCTTCCCTGTAAATATGTATGTATGTGTATATTATTGACAAGGTCACAAAGTGTCATTTTCTCTGGAACGGAGATCAATGCAAAGTGCTGCTACGAAGAACCGGGCGAGGAGCCGGGGCAGTGGTGAACTTTGACGTGCGGAGCTCAGTCGCGTGCCTTTCTAAGACAGAACTGTCCCGAACCCGAACTACCAATATCAATGCAGCGAAGCCTTACTCTGTACTGTGCTGTCACCAAGAGGACTGAAGCGGGTCAGTGACTCTGATCCAGGTGAGGATTGGGTCAACAGTGTGTTTGATTGGCCTCTCTGGACGCACCGGTTCGACTTGAATTTCATGCTCCATAGAGCCTAATGAATCATTTAGTAAAAGCAATGAACACGTGTTAATATGGAGGGAGATGGATTATGATTAACACATTTTGAGGAAGATATTCTAATGTGAAAATAACAAGATAAAACTGTTCTTCAAGAACGCCCACTTGAATTTTGTTAAAGCCACTGTACTGAATGATCTGTTGATGTTTTAGTGTCATTTTCACAGCACTATATTGAAAGTTCAACCCAAGGCCAGCCCCATGCACTAAGAGACACAAAGCCTAAAGTGTATGTTAATCACACAGCCATGTGAGGTGGCCTGTATATAGAGATAACTGTTTCGTCTTCACTGTGATTCTCCGTCTCTTCTCATGTCGCCATGCCTCCCATAGTGCCTACTGTAGAATTTAACATTGAAGGCAGGGAACAGGCTGCTGCTCTACTCCTCAGCGATGAACTCTGGCTGTGGATGTGGACTCAAACAGCCTCAACGTTTGTAATTCATAGTGCCATTTATTTTTTTGTCTTTATTCAACCCGTTTTGTGTGTGCTAGGATTGCTGGTTAAGTCCTGCAGTGTAAATGTTACACATAACAAATCAAAAGCATCTCCCATTCTCCGTCCCGCCTCCTTTTAATCGTCACTTCTCTGTCCCTGTTCCCCGTTGTCGATGTCCTTGCTGTCAGTTAAAATGTTCAACAGTACAACGAGAAAGCAGGATTAAGAGTTTTTGTGTGTACAATCCGTCCAATACAACCTTCTGTATGTGTGTAAATGATGCTTGATTCAATGAAGGGGACTTTGCTTTGTGTTGTATTTACGGTGCTTTATACTGTCAGCATTGCATACATATTTTAAAGTATTATCTGCCAGCAGTATTGTAAAGAGCGGTAACATTACATCATGAAGATAAACAAAGTGTCCCGCTGTGCCGTCAACTGATAATAACTTTTCATCATTTGTTTCTCCGCTTCGGTTTTACCTTTTTATGCATTTTGGTTCCATTACCACGTTTGGGGTAAAAAGAATATGTGACATTGTGCCAATGCATGTACAGCTGATTAAAGATTGTGTTTGTATCATTTGAAGAGAGTCAAACCTGCACGTAATTATTTATCCTTTATAAGCAAAGAGAGAGTAGAACACTGTTTCTACTGTACGTTATGACCACATTGTTGGCACAAAGGGAAGTGTCTGCATTTAGGCGATTACACTATCAACATGCACTGCACAGCTTGAGTCAAGCTAATTTACTTTTCTTGGACTTAAGAGCTTTGGATAAAAAAAACTTAAATGTGCTTTGGATTTGGCCTCGCACGCACAAAAAAGCCCCGATACAATCTTCTATAATACTCCAGTGTACAAAGGGAGAAAGTCCCTGACAGTGCTCAACCCAAAGTCACCCCAGAGGTTTTCTGAACCCTGGCTACGCCCCTCAAATAATAAAAGTAGCTTATTTGGGAGAAACATGCTGAGCTCGTCCCATTTGATAATGGCTCTTTGCTCTGCTGTGCTGTTCAACCTTTCACTTATTTCTGCCAGATGGACACTCACTAGATTAACTCCACATACACCCCCCCCCCCCCCCCCCCCCACACACACACACACACTGCCCATCTGCCTGGCCTCAGGCCTGAGCAGACACCTCATGCAGTACCCCTCCAACCTTTGATTGATCTATTGGGAACATTGATCAGATACAGCAGTGCAGCCAGCAATTAAAAGGGAATCAATTGAAAGGCTAATTGGATTATTTACCCCTTTAGATGGAGCCTTATTACCCAAACTGTTCTATAGGAATATTATTTGTTCACACTTCATCAACACCATGAAGTTCAAGAAAAATAATGTAGGCCCTCCTTTCACCTCCCCGTTGAATTCCATGTTCCCCGTCACAAGGTGTCAGTAGTGTACAACAGTGGAGAGCAGTCAGCCCCTGCACTGGATGGGAGGGGGGAGGTGGTCTGTGAATCTGGGGCACCCTGCTGCTGAAGCCCTCCAGCTGATGAGGGAGCAAAGAGGAGGGATGAAGGCACAGTTGGATCACAGCTCGCTGGCCACGTCTGCTACCGCAACAGAGAGAGAGGGAGAGTGAGAAAGAGGAAAATCCCCATCACAGCGTCAAAGGCAGCAGCAGCAGCAAGCAACAGGGCTGTCTGTCTCTACGCACCATGCAGCATCTCTCTAGAGCTTTCTTTGAGCCTGCTTCACACACTCCTGTCAGCGAGTACACACACCATCGCACAAGGGGTTCCTTGTTCCTTGTTTCCTCGTCCTAAGGCTCCGGCCATCTTCAGCCCCATCTATACTTGATGAGTAACCAGAACTGGAGGGTCATTGGGACGTGTTTACTGCAACACTGGGGCTAATTAGACCGTGAAAGTGTCACACTGTGATAAATTACTTATATGCTTGCCCCGCTGTGCGATGCGTGAGCTTGTGCATCGCTACGAGTTTTCAAGAGAGCGAGACCGTGTATGTGGGTCTCTTTGTGCGTGCATGCATGTGCTATGTGCCGGGCTTGTGCGTGGGCTTGTACCTTTGATGCTGATTGTGTAAGAGAAGGCTGAATGCATGCATCTATAGGTTAACATCAAAGGGAGGATGACGAGGAGGGAGACGAGAGCGAGGTGCATGTAAGCGGACGGTGCTGCAGCCTGAGACCTGTATTCTAGAGGAGCCTGGTGTCTCCTCTCTAGGTGTGTCAGTGGCCTACCATTCACCATTAGCACTCAAGAGCAGAGCCGTTTCTCCATCTGATACTCACTGTGCTGTCTCTTCTTGCATCAAGTTCAGGGCCCAATCACAATGTTTGCTGGGACAGGTAAAATGCCACATTGGGCCAGGAAACCTATAACTTACCCACCCGATTTGGCAAGTGGTAAAAAAGAATTAAACACATTGTTTTTTCCAGAGCAGATGATGGAAGTAGCTAAGGAGTGAGCCATCTCGCTTCCTTCTCATCGCAAAAATTGACTTTGATTTCTGACCGACTTGCCCATCAGGGCAAATGAAAAAAAAAGCATTAACGTTGAACTCTGAAGTTGCTACTTCCTTAAAGAGGAGATTAATTTGCCTTCCACACTGAAAATGTTTACTGCAGCTGTAAAAATATGTTTAGATACCTCTCTTTTAAAAGATACATTCCTTTAGAGGCGTGAGATGGTTGCTTCTAACTATTAAAGCAGCCTCAGCTGCCAAAGTGTAAAAACATCGACAGCAATAATTTAAAGTCCAAAAAAGACAGACTTGCCTTCTTTGTACATGCCCCTCAGCAATAAAACCCCCCAAAAATGTTCAGCTTTAATTTGTGCACTTTTAAACCAAACCAGACTAAATAGAACACAAACCCAAGCGATCAGTTTCACTCTGACTCGGACCAGCCTAATGGACTACAGCTGGTGAAAGCGCCCTTAGTTACCCATTTATTTCATATGAATGCTAACCCTCACCAGAAATGTTTTTTTTATTTAAATTGTTGTATTTGTCAAGTAAACACAATAAGTGATTCACTCTTGGCATAAATGCTCAAGCATAAATACTTTTCTCCCACAGGGTGACGAATGTCTGGTGAAGTAAAATGTCAAATTCAACAACAATGCAATCACTTAGTAGTACATCCTAAAGGACAAGATGTATAATGTTTTGGGAAGTAGGTGCATTAGTGAACTCAAGATGGTACTCTCAATTGATGGAGCTCCATTTGTGGCAGTCAGCCGTGTACAGCAGTTGTTGAAACACACATGAAACACCAGCCCTAGTCCTGCTTAGATCGCTCCCCAGCAAGTTCGTTGTACACGGTAACCATTGCCCCAATCTCCAGCTTTCTAGACTTTACAAAAGTGATCAGGAAGACTGACATGCTGTGCCACGGCATCCATCCACACATGTCTTGGCATCTGCGATGTACCACTGACCTTTCACCTGTGTCCCAGAACTACCTTTTGCAGGGAGAGCGAAGGACAAGAAGATGGAATATCATCTATCGATATCTCCCCCGTGATCAAGTCAGCGATTGCAGGAAACAGCTTGGGAGGTGTTTGTCTCAATCAAAAGGAACGGATGACGAAGTCTCACCTGTTCAGAAGCTGCTTCTTCTATCTGACACAGCGGCTTAGATGACTGACCGAAATTACATTTGTAGCTACTGGCACATCCCAAACTACTATTAAGTATGTCATGTCTGACATGATTCCCTACAGCATTGGGAAAGCGCGGTCTTCATGGATGCCCAGAAGACACGGCAGAGCGGTGACAGCCTTGATTGTCAGGCCTCAACGCAGAACAGCTTCTCCCTAACCACTCAACATCATCTACCCTTGGGAATCGATATGTTTGCTCATGGGACAGAACCAAAGAGGTTTCATAACATTTTGCATCTCCTCCACCTGATCCTTAAGCTGTCAGGACTGTCAATCTCTCAGACTGAGCAACAGTTTTTTGATATGCTGAGGTATCCCAGCTAATGCAAGCTAA